GCCACCACGCCCAGCTGATTTTTTGTATTTTTAGTAGAGACAGGGTTTCACCATGTTGACCAGGATGGTCTCGATCTCTTGACCTCGTGATCCACCCGCCTCGACAAATCTAAACTTATAAAGAGTCATTGCTCACTATGTAAATTACAAAGGATTAACTACATATTTATACTACTTAAAGATAGCTCAATGCATTCATACTTACTCTCTGTTACTAAGTCCAAAGGATCCACCATCAGCTGACCCTCCAATCAGCAGCTTGTAAGGAACTTACTTTAGGGGCCAACAAATTGACCTCACCTGAAAAATAATATTTTGAATAATCTAACATTTTATGGAGCAATGATCTAATGTGTTTCTTGTTCCTACACATGATCCCTAGGGAACAGGAGGGCTTAAGGGGCAAACAGGGTATAAACACGAAGCTATAGCCTGCAGAGTTCAAGTTTAGAAGAAAACAAGCCTATTTCAGCTAAGTTTCTCAATCTATGTCCTCCTCACAGTCAGGCTGCATCGGCAGCTACTGCCTCGTGGTGACTCATGACCATCAGAGCACTGATCAGTAGTGAATCACATGCAACTCTGAAACCACACAGCCGGAATGTTCAGGGAAAGACAGGAGAGAGGAAGTATCATACCCCCATTGAGTAGTTGTGGGAGATCAAGTTTAAAAATTCACATAAAGCATATAAAAGCACAGCAGCCCCCAGAAAACATTTGCAGCATGGTCGTTATAACTCTCATTCCTACTGGCACCAAATGATCTATTTCCACTCTGCCCCTTCATAAGCTATGATGAAGGCAGAAAAATAAAAGGAATAGGCAACAATTACTCCCTCCACTACAAAACTTCAGCTAAACAAGCAATGTTCTTTTGTAAAAGCTAACAGTCTTGTTATGTGGGAGCTTTTGTGAAATTTCTTTTTTTTTTTTTTGAGACAGAGTCTCACTCTGTCACCCAGGCTGGAGTGCAGTGGCATGATCCTCAGCCTTCTGCACTCAGGTGATTCTCCTGCCTCAGCCTCTTGAGTAGCTGGGATTATAGGCACCTGCCACCATGCCTGGACAATGTTTATATTTTTAGTAGAGACAGGGTTTCACTATGTTGGCTAGGCTGGTCTCCAACTCCTGACCGCAAGGTCTCCCTCTGTCGCCAAGGCTGGAATGCAATGGTACAATCATAACTCAGTGCAGCCCAGAACTCTTGGGCTCAAATGATTCTCCCACTTCAGCCTCCTGAGTAGCTAGGACTATAGGTATACACCACCATGCCTAGCTAATTTTTTACTTTATTTTATTTTTATAGCAACAGAGTTCCACTATGTTGCCCAGGCTGGTCTCAAACTGTTCACCTAAACTGATCCTCCTGCCGTGGCCTCCCAAAGCTCTGGGATTATAAACATGAGCCACCACATCCAGCAGAAACTATTTTAAATGCCATCTGTTAGTAGAAGCAGCCAGAGCTCCTTGAAAAATGGCTGATTCCAGGATTGGGGCAGGGAGAGCAGCAGATGGGCCTGGAATATTTTGTGCTGCCAAAAAGTAAGAAAGTGGTCAAAATTTGATAGAGACTGTCAAAAGGCCATAAATACAGCTAACATCATACTTAATAGTGAATCATGAGCTACTTTTCCTCTAAGATTGGGAACAAGACAAGGATGTCTACTCTCTCCTTTTTATTTTATTTATTTTATTTTATTTTATTTTTGAGATGGAGTCTTGCTCTGTCACCCAGGCTGGAGTGGAGTGGCATGATCTTGGCTCACTGCAACCTCCATCTTCCGGGTTCAAGCAATTCTTCTGCCTCAGCCTCCCAAATAGCTGGGACTACAGGCACGCACCACCAAGCCCGGCTAATTTTTTTGTATTTTTAATAGAGATGGGCTTTCTTCATGTTGGTCAGGCTGGTCTCGAACTCCCAACCTCAGGTGATCTGCCCACCTCAGCCCCCCAAAGTGCTGGGATTACAGGCGTGAGTCACCAGCGTCTGGTTTAATTACGGGCGTGAGCCACTGCGCCCGCCTCCATTTCTATTAGAGCCTATACTAGAAATTCTAAGCAGTATGACACAGCAAGAAAAGGAAATCAAAGATATAAAGATTGGAAAGGAAGAGGTAAAACTGTCATTTTTTATAGGACATATGATCTCGTACATAGAAAATCCCAGCTGGGCACGTTGGCTCACATCTGTAATCCTAATATTTTGGGAAGCTTAAATAGAAAGACCACTTGAGACCATGAATTTGAGAACAGCCTGAGCAATACAGGGAGTCATGATCTCTACAAAAAATTTTTAAAATTAGCACAAGCCCGTAGCCCCAGCTACTTAGGAGGCTGAAGTGAGAGGATCACTTGAGCCTGGGAGATTGAGGCTGCAATGAGCCATGATTGCACCACTGCACTCCAGCCTGGGTGACAGAACGAGACCCTGTCTTTAAAAAAAAAAAAGAAAGATGAAAAAGAAAGAGAAAAGAAAATCCTAAAATACATATCAAATTAAAAATCCTAATAGAACAAATAAGCAAGTTTAGTAAGATCACAGAATACACAATAAATATATGAAAGTCAGTTGTATTCCTACATATTAGCAACAAACATGTAAAAATGAAATATACAATTCCATTCACAATAGCATCAAAAATAAAAAAATATCTAGGAATAGAGACTTCTGGTTCCAAAATGGCAGTGTAGAAGCAAGCTGAGGTCACTCGCCTCACAGAAAACCAAATACAAACACACAGCACCAAGATTATCACCAGCAAAATGCCAGAACTCAAATATGAAAAGGAGACAGTTCCTAGGACCACAGAGAAGGGAAAAAATTCTGACAAGGCAGTAAGAAGAGTGGACTTCCACATCTACAGCATCCCCTCCCTCAATCTTCCTGGGACCAAGGACACAGAAAATCTGCCCCCAACTCACAATTTCTATACTGGAAAAAGAGATCAAGATACACAACCAGGCGGGGCACAGGGGCTCACACCTGTAATCCCAGCACTTTGGGAGGCTGAGGCAGGAACTCGACACCAGCCTGGCCAACATGGCAAAACCCCGTCTCTACCAAAAATACAAAAAATTAGCTGGGCATGGTGGTAGGCACCCATAACCCCAGCTACTCAGGAGGCTGAGGCATGAGCATCGCTTGAACCTGGGAGGCGGAGGCTGCAGTGAGCCGAGATCACGCCATTGCACTCCATCCTGGGCAACAAGAGCAAAATTCTGTCTCAAAAAATATCCCTGAAGACAACCAGAAACAAAGGGGTTAGGTGGGACTACCATACTTAGCCCTGGACTCTCTGCTCTGTTAACTCAGCCAAAGGAGATACCAAATCAGAGAGGCTGTTCAGCAACACTACTCTCTATAGGAGCTATGTTCCACAGATTGTACCGTATGATGAGTTGTATAATTATTTTATTATATATTACAATGTAATAACAGAAATAAAGTGCACAATAAATTTAATGTGCTTGAATCATCCCGAAACCATCCCCCACCCATCCATCCACCCCAGTCAGTGGAAAAATTTTCTTCCACAAAACTGGTCACTAACACCAAAAAGGATGGGGACCACTGCTTTAAAGCCAAGACAAACCTGGGTCTAAGACACCATCTAGTGTTGAAGAAGAGGTAGTGACCTAGTGAGTTTTTTAAAAAGTCAACAGGTTAAGTTACAAAGAATCTCTAAACAAACATATTCAATAATAAACAAAATAAGCCAGATAGAGAAGAATAGAATAAATAAGTAATCCTTCAATGTAAAGACATATACATATATCCACAAGAAACAGCAGCAGAGAACTATGACAAAGCAAGAAATGGACAAAGCAAGAAAACAGTGACTGACTGACACAGTGACACATGCGCTCTAACGAGGAACTCAAAATAGCAGTTTTATGTAAACTTGGTGATCTCCAAGATAACACAGAAAAGCAATTCAGAAATTTATCAGAGAAATGTAACAAAGAGATTAATAATAATTTTTAAACAAATCTTGGAACTGATAAATAAATTTGCTTACCTGAAAAATTTACTAGAGGCTCTTAACTACACAATAGATCAAGCAGAGGAAAGTATTAGTGAGCTCAATTGAAGACAGTCTATTTGAAACTATAGAGAAGAACAAAGAAAACAGAATGAAAAGCAACAAAAATAACCTATAAGATACAGAAAACTACCTCAAAAGACCAAATCTAACAATTATTAGTATTCAAGAGGGAACTAAACAAGAGGCAGGGGTGGCTTACTAAAAGAAATAACAGGCTGGGCATGGTTCACACTTGTAATCCCAGCACTTTGGGAGGTCAAGGTGGGCAAATCATTTGAGGTCTGGAGCTCAAGACCAGCCTGACCAACATGGTAAAACCCCATCTCTACCAAAAATACGAAAATTAGCCAGGCATAGTGGTGCACGCCTGTGATCCCAGCTACTTGGGAGGCTGAGGCAGGAGAATCACTTGAACCCAGGAGGTGGAGATTGCAGTGAGCCGAGATCGTGCCATTGCACTCCAGACTGGGCAAAAGAGTGAGACTCTGTCATGGGAAAAAAAAAAAAAAAGAAATAACAGAAAAATTGGCCGGGCGCGGTGGCTCACGCCTGTAATCCCAGCACTTTGGGAGGCTGAGGCGGGTGGATCACGAGGTCAAGAGATTGAGACCATCCTGG